CCCCCCAACTTCCAGGTCAACTCCTTCAAGGGGAGGAACTGGTGCCAACATAGGAGGAGGTCCTGCAGTTCCATCTGCAATAGCTGTTTCTGTTAGCAGCAGGGCTTCTTCCTCATTACAAGTTTCCTCTCCATCTTCATCACCATATGTGTGTCTGATTTGGCAGTTTTTTACATGCTTCTTTCTAAAATAGCAAAGTCAATAAAAGTATATTTTGTTTCCATTTGTTCCAACTCAATGTGGTGAACATCTAGTCATCTTGACTTCACTTTTGGCAAATAACCCATATATATCGCTGCACATTTTAACACAAGTTGTGCTTTCTTTCACAAGCTCACAGGATCAGTCAAAATACAGTAATAATATAAATTGAAGCATCTAAAAAGAGAAAAAATTGAGCATATGCTTCCTGCAAGAGTAGTTTTTGGTTGTTGGAATAAATGCAAAATATTACTTCTGTACAAACTACTATACAAATATTTTAGACATTAATTTTGTGTTCGTATTTTGCATGTTGTTTTGGTACAATAGTTTCTGCAGTTTGATTTGCGGTATGAAAGTTTTTCTTTAGCTTAGTGCTTGTTCTTCTGTCCTGTTGATTTTCAATCAGACCCGCTTCTTTTTTCCCTCTGTAGTCCTTTTTCTTTCCAAACGTTTCATTCTATCTTGGTTATCATTTGTACACTGCCGAGAAATAAGGACAAATTTGTCACTGTTATGTAATAATTTAGTGTATGTGTAATAGAGCAAAACAAAATGTCTGAGATGATTCACTGATTTATTTATTTAGCATTATATCACACATTCATAAAATATATAAGGCACTAAAATTTTGCCTGTACATGTAAACGAATAAGAACACTTACCATTTCTTGGATGCCATCAAGCAATGGCAAGCCCAGTCTTGAATACAAATCCACTATCCAGTGATAGTCGGGCCCTCTCTTCTTGAAGCACCATGTCATATTTGCCTGTATCAGACCCAAATTTGTCGATGCATAGTAGTGTTTCTGATGTAGGTTGACATCCTTAGCCCTAAACTTAGTAAGGACACTACATGTCGATTCTGGCAGGTTGGAGTGCCCCTTTCCCAACCCACGGTCAATGACTTTTTTTGCCTCCCTAGTCCTAGAAGAACATTCTATTTCATAGCACAGAGCATGAAATTCACACTTTAAAACATGGGCTGAATGGTATGCTTCCCCAGGGCATTTTAAATTTTCATAAAAACCATCCTCGTCGCTTGGGCATTCCTTACAACTGCATTTCTTTAGAGGATGAAACTGACAGGAACCACCTTCCCATTTGTGTATGTCACGGAAATGATATTTTCCCAAACACAGCATAGTCTCCCTATATTTATCAGGATCCTGTCCTGCCTGAACTAGTGCACAATAATGGTTGCGTTTTGCACTCTGAATAAACGCTGGGCTTATACAACCACATGATGGTTTATTGCGCGTGGCCACATAAGTGTGCTTCTTCCCAATACAGCAACACTTCATTTTCCCCATATCAGGGTAATCTTTTTTGTGGCTGTCAATAAATGCCTTGCTGAATGAACTCTTGGCCTGGAGCTCAATGAGCTTCTTCCCATGGGCCCTCCCCACATGCCCCCCCGCACAACATTACTCTGGATTCTTGCTCATTTGAAAACGAGTATCGGAATCCTTTCGCTGATGATGAGTCAGCATCCTGCCAGTTAACCTCCACCTTTAGCCCCTCTTCTTTTGCTTCTGCCCACAAAACCTGGGCTAAATGCCCCTCTGCAGCTTTCGATGTACCCTTCCACAAATCTTCTTCGCATATATTATCAGCCCCCCTCATTGATAAATGACCATAATAGAGCAGTCCACCTGTCAAGTAATTTTTTACCACAAAGGTACAGTTCTGGCTAAAATGACCTTGGATCTGCCAACAACCATTGCAAGTTGTGACAGCACAAGACCAACTCCCCAACTGGTCTGATGAAAGGGCTTTCATGTATTCCTTCTCCTTCTCACACATTTCATCAAGGATGTCTCTGATGTGAGGGAAAGCAAGATCAATGACATCCAAAAAGAGCTTATCTGATATAACACCCCAACCCAACCCCCTTCCCATTGTTTTTCTGTAAGACTCATAGCCATGCCCACTTATAAAAAAAGCTACGGATAGGGCTAAGGACACCAGTTGATGCTGTGACTCCAGAGCAAGGTGACTACTCTGATAATTGATAGTTTCTTGCCAACAGCCATTGCAACTAAACAAGAACTTCATTGCTCCACCAAGTCCTTTCTTTTCACTGGCCACAAGGACAAGCTTTCCTGAGACAAAATATATAATGAGAAAGGAATGTAACTACTGGCTGACTGGACATCAAAAATGAAACTGGGTCATTCCACAACTTCACATTCTACTGCTCTGAATTTAATTAAATTAATAATATGCGATAATATTCTTACCTTTACATTTACCATTTCTTGGAAATATGTGTTGAACTGGTCAACTAAACCTATTATGCTTGATGTTGTCCCAAGGAACAATCCTTCAGGAATGTTTAGCCTAAAATGAAGGGAGAAATAGTATTGTAAGATTAGAGTTCACTATGCATGTGAAGATGTGAAGACGGCAAGGTAGGAGAGACATAAATATGAAAGAAAGTTGTTTCTCATCAAATATCGCCCACTGAAAGAATATTGTAGACTAGCAATTCTAAAAGAGAAGATAAGTGCTGCCTCCCTCAGAAACCAGAGCCAAGACCATCATTGACTTTTTACACCACCAGCAATACCTATATAAACAGTGTATTTTTGACTGGTGACGTGACTCTCAGAACAGACGGTTACAAGCCACATTACTAAGAGGCAAAACTTGCAGAATACCCGGCCCAGCCATAAGCATCTCACTGAATAAGAATAGCAACTATTGTTACATACCTTGTTCTTCAAAACACACTGACACATGTAAATAGCTAGGCCGGGTATTCTGCAATCGCTCCGCAATAATCATCGCCCAAATTTAAAAGTAGCTTTGTTATTTCAATGCAAGATGTTTTCATTTAATAAAATCCAAAGATGTTTTGAACATCGTAAACAAAAATACTTCTACGATTTTGTCATATTGTCCACTGATTTTGCTTCATAGCAATGTTTGACACCTACTTGCGAATATTTATAACCTGCAACTGTAAACTACAAATACAGACACTGCTCTCGCTCTGTAATAAATACTTTTAAAAAGACTTCAAATTTGCGATTCGTTACTCACTCATATTTCACTTCATCCGAACGAATTCTTTGCTTCAATGGTGGCTCATAATAAGGGTCGTCCGAATGTTTGTCGGTCGGCTTTACAGTTGCAATCCCGGTCTCTTCGGTCGTTTTGCTGGTAGTTTCATCTTTCAGAAAACGATGTAAAGTTCCTTCAGAATCCAGCTTTCGTTCTGCTTCTCTGGCACTTTTGTCTGCGGCCTTCTGGGTCAATGAAAGTTAGAAGCCGCTTGTTTCCAAAGTCCCTCGAAACAACACTCCAGCCATGTTTCTCCAGCTTGTCTGAGTCCAACCATATTCTCAAACCACTTCCCGTGCCTCGCAAATCGTGAAGGGTTTTCGACCAGCCTGAATTCGCTTCACTGGATGCCATAGATAACTTTCTCTCTTGCTATAAATAAAATTCTCTCTTTCTGTAAATAAAATCCTCTCTTTCTGAATATATTTCTCTAACCCGGTATCTGCGTTTGCCAATTTTCCTCAAGCTTCCAATATCAACTCCCCACCGAGTGTGGTGAACGAAGGTGCCATTGCTAGGGGAAGGGATTATCTCACCTTCCCATTGGTTTCACGGGAAATAATCTTGACTCAAATATGGGCATCATGGCTTTATTTGGAGGGATGTAATGCATTTTACAGCTGGAAATTGTAATTGCAGACACTCCAAACATGGCTGCCATCTTTCGAAAGAGAAAACGATAGATGGCGAGCAATTTGAGGAAATTTATGTTGAATTTGAGGATGTTTCGCACTCATGGAGTACAACATTAAGGCACATTTATTGAGTTTTCTTCAGAGGGATTTATAGCAGAGATTACAAACTTTGCAGATGCAAACTACATACAAATACGAAAATATATGCCGCAGTACGCACTTGGAAACAAAATTGTAATCATGTGACAGGAATGCACATTTTTCGAAAGTATTTTTTACATTTTTTTATCTTTCCAACTTATCTAATCAAAATGAAAAGGTGTACTGTGGTGAAATGTTGTATTTTATCCCATTTAAATTGGGTAGCGAGTCTAAGGGCAAAATAATTCATTCCATATTAGATTTGACCAAATTTGTAAAAATTATAAGAAATGACCACACCCTAAATATCTTGAATTTTACAAATTCCTTAAACTACTAGGGAAGAATTTTTTTTCAGAAACTAGCTGAAAAAACTAAGAAGTCATGTGGAAACAACTTCACTCTCATTAATATTGTTTCTGATACAGCCCTCAAAAGAATGCCCCAAATCGGCCAAATCCCCCAAATCCTCTTTGTAATGTTTGTTGTGATGCTGGTTTGAGGTGCGCGGCGACTTTTGTATGTGGCAGTTCTGCAAAGCCGTGCAGAAACAATAAAGAATCTGTGCCTGCTGCGAATTCTCCAGGCAATACTGCAACAACTCAACACCCTAGCAGTGCATTCGAAAGGCACCAGTTAACCCTTGAACGTGAAAGAGAAAGTATCCAGGTAAAATGTGTGCCATAATTCAGTGTACTGGTGTAGCTAGTGTTGTCAAAGTTGTGATGAAAATCCTAATATTGTACTTATATTCCTACTGCCCTTGCACCAGTTTCATAGTCAAGTTTAATAGTTTTTAATGCACCTCTTCTAATTTACGTTTTTATGCCGGAAACATTT